ATAAACGAGCATTTTCGCTGAACCCGATGTAATGTAAGAGGCTAATTAAAATCTCATGATTAATAGTGAATAAAGATGAATAAGAATTTAGTTTTGTATTAAAGTTATTTCGTTCAGAATAAATTGAAGAAAATTTTCAATTTATTTGGGTCTAATTAATGTGATTGGAATTGAAATATTTCATTTCTTCAATTTGAGTTTTCATTAATATATTGTAAAGGTTGTTGTAAATTTTTTTTTGAATTTTCGAACAAATCCATAAAAAGTCAAACATTGAAGTCAAATTTCAGGGAATGGGAAAAAGGAGAAATCTTCAATTCTTCAATTCATATTAAAACTTCATATGGAGCTGCTAGCCGTCGCGTCGGTCAAATAATAATTTTCTAGAAAATTTGTGACGACACAGAATTTCAAAATTTTGTTTCTCAACAAAAAAGAAGTTTAACCTCTTTATTATGCAACCATTGCAATTAGTACTAATTTTAGTTGAAACCCTTTGTTATGCAACCATTGGAATTAGTATTGCAATAATAGTGCTGTGTGTCCTGGTTTTGAATATCACGTCTATAGGCTTTCAGCATTGAAACCGTAGCGAGTGCAAGCATATTCCTTAAGTAACATGTAGGTAAAGAATGTATTGCGTTTTTACGAAAATCAATTAACAGATGCTTGAAAAGGGGACTTTATCAAAATAAAATTGAATTAAATGAGATAAGCGAAAGCATAGGTGTGTAGTTTTGAGATATAGAAATGCATTGTAAACAAGTGCTCACTTTTCGTCGGCCTTTACCAAGGAAGAAAAGCGCGTTGGAGGGGCGGGTAAGAATTTGAAAAGTTAGCGCACTGATTTAACGAGGCGGTTTGACTTGGCGTACATAACAGTCGGTTACGTAAAATTTTCAAATACGATTTTTCCGGCGGTCAACCGATGTTTTGAAGTTTCTGTCGTTTGTCAGTTCAAATTAAAGAAAAGTAATTTGTTTCATAAGGTTGTTTTGAGTCAGTGAGTACGTCGTTACAAATCATAGAAGAGAAGTTTTAGACAATGTTTAAATATATATTAAATTACTTTTTCTACGTTGTGCATCAGGGCTAAGTCAAAATATGTTATAATTTTCTATTGGTGCGTTTGGCAACGTTATTTATTATATTATATTATATAACGTAAACGCTATAATAGCTCTGTGAAAAGTGTGTTCTTTTCGTTGCTTACCGCATCTGTACAGGCGGTGCCAGAACAAAAACTTGGATTATTACAAGTAGTAAGTAGTTTTGGGACGTATTTTACTCTGTATTCGACCGTTTTGCAACGGAAAATGAACGCTCTTCCGTTTATTTGCTTGTTTTATACAAAGGTTTATTTGATTTTTGTATATCTGTGTTATTATAATGCGTGCAATATAATGAAAATTTATATTGTGTGATCTATGGAAGTTATGTGAATGTGAATTTCTGAAAGTAAAGAAAATCCAGCTAAACTTTGTTTTTATTGTTCACTGAAAATTTCCCTTGTGTCGAATTAATCGTGTGTCATTTCCAGTTCAAGTCAAAATTTAATAAGACTGTTTCATTTCAATTACAGATCTCCGCAATAACAACTTTTGATTAAGTCAAGGTTGAGATTTTCTAGCGTTTCGGACCCTAAGATTAAGACTTTTTTTTAGTTATTAAAAATAAAGTTTATAGGAAGATGAGGATCGGTTACAAGGTTTAATTTGTGTAAATTTGAGCTTGAGTTTTATTTAAATGGTGTAATGAATTCATGTCATTGCACACAGCAATATATACAGGTAAAACCAAATTTGATACTTTCTACGCAGACTCCCGTTACGTTTTAGATGCCTCGTCCAACATATCTAACGCCCTGCTGTTTTTCTTCTCCCCCGATTTCAATGTCTATGAAACCTAAATTTAACTGAGCTTGGTAAGGTTTTTTTAGTTTCAGTCAGTGGCTAAATTTTCGTTTGGCTCGTATGAGAAATTTATCCCTATTTCCAGCCCATAAATTGCCCGTTGAAACTACATTGTTGTCTAGTTTAGCCTAATTTTAATTCCGCGAGTTTACTCTGGGCTGTTCAACGGAGAAGGGGGGTGGGGTTGCAAAACGGTTTGAGTTAATATATGAGGGATGCTCGAGTATCTGAGTTTGATAATCGCTGTGCTAAATGCCACCTTTTACATTTCATATAACGTATAAACCGTTTGCATAATGTCCACAAACTAATATTTAAAGAAATCGAAATTGATGTTGTTTTTAGTCGAGATCATTACCGTAATGAATCCACCTCAGCGTCGTCTACGGGATACATTTTCTCAAACTCAAAAGCTTTTCTTGTCACCGAAAGTTTGAAAGTACAAATATAAATAAAGGCGGGGATATGTTGAAAAAGTTTGCGACACAGAAAATAACCAACACTACAAAATGTTGGGAAGAGGCCTTATCCTCAAATATTTCCTCCGCTTTCTTTTATACAAGAGTGGGTCGTCTTTACGAGATTAAATCTATTGTAATGCCTCAATAAAAATTATTTTAGAGTGCCGTTTGCGTATTGATTTTTTTTTCGAACAGTGAAGGGTGTTTTTGAGATTAGTGGTTAGGTTGTAAATGGAAATTATAATTTCCTTCACGTACGTAAAACTGCGCACGGTCTTGTGGCGCGGTCGTTATGCTGTGAAGTAAATTTAAAACAAACAAGTAATCGTCATGAGATATTGCGTTCCTTATGTAGAAAGCAATAGCCTTTTTTTCCCAAACGGAATCGTTTAGCATATCGTTATACGTCACATAATGGCAAATAATGCCGCCATAACGAAAAATAATGCACTTCGAAAGCAATAAAGCAAAATTTGAGACATTTCTTTCAGGCCGACCTCATGTTCAGGCCAACAACATCAAAAAGCAATATAGGCCCGTTTAAACGTCCATATATCACAGATATATATAAGAAGTCCTCAGTCATATGGTTTCCATCATTATGCAGGGCGACATCGTGCAAGAAAATTGGGGAACAAAATCCTTGCGCCGTCCCCACTGGCTGATTGCAGTCACGCTAAAAATCAATTTAAAAGAAACTTCTTTCATCTCCGCTTAGCTCATATCCGAGAACTTGTATGCATGGGGTGGTACAGAACGTTTTTGTTTGTCTGCATTTAGCCTTTAGCGACATCATCATGCACGGATGGCATTTTAAATTTCTTTTAAGCAAATAGTACGCAATAAAAAAGTACTTAAATTAAAATAACAATCAAAATCCGAGACTGGAAATGGTTTACGGTTATCGACTTGCACCATACCCTATTTAGCGAGTAAGGTGGTGTATTTATTGCTGCACCACGTTCTCGCCCTTTAAATTATTTCCAACGCCGTTGGGGTTTTCTTTTAGTCTCACTCCGTGTGTTCATTTAGCCATCGTCACATACTGAACAACAATGAAACAACTAGAGTTTCAAGCAGCCGGAAAACTAATTATTTAAAGATCTATCTATACGTGAAAGGAAATTTGAAAGCAACGTGCGGAAATAATTTCCACTTGTGCTGAAAAAATTAACTTAATGTTCAAATAGCAACTTTAGGTGCGAATAGTGGAGAATGACGTGTTTTATTCTACTCACGTGTTTCAAATACCCTAATTTGAAAGTAGCTGTATGTTTTTTTAATAAACGCTTAATTTTATCACGTGCGAGAACGATGACGGTAATTTTCCTTTAAAATTAGATAACTTATACGCACGTACGTATGTTCAGCTGCGTACAATTTATAGCTGCCTCCCCTTTTGTTCCCATTTGCCATTTCAGCATTCCTTTCAAATGATAGTTATTTTTCTCCAATCGTCCGAATAAGTCGATGTATTTGCAAGTCGATCTTGAGAAAATGGGGGACACCTGTTTTAATTACTCAACACTTCACTTAATGGAGATTAATCCTACCCAATTTAATGGTATAATTGGATTTTGGATATTTTTACACTCTCCTTCCTTTTAACGCCTGTAGTAGAGCTTCAATCATGTGCCTTGTTCCACGAAACTTTTACTTTACATTTTAATAAGCAGAATCATTCGCTCTTTGAAAGCGGTCACGTACGTTAGATTACTTTAAAAGCGGTTTGGTTCTAAAGTTAAGGGCTAAGTGAATTTAAAAGTGAGTACCAGAAAATGAGTTTAATGCCAACATTCTTGGCCGAAAGTCAGCAGCTCTGGAATACATTTACTTCAGCTTCATTGTTAGCATCGTAAAAAATCCCATTGGTAAATGAACAATCCCGTTTTTTTTTCACACGCCAACGACGTATTATTATCCAGCTTGCGTTGTTTTTGCGGGGCAATTTTCTCTTTATGGAGTAAACGAAGAAGAAATCAAGCAAAGCTAGGGAAAGCAGTATAGAAAACCCAGGTGCCAAAACTGCTCGGTGAAATCTACCAGTAGAGTAGAGAGGGGTGCAGTAAATTAGAAGTTTGGTTAACACAGCAGTCATCCTGTAATTAGACAACTTCATCTGGCCGCAACAATAACAAAAGTAGCTATTAATTGTCTTTACGTTTGTTTATATACACATAACATTGTATAGATAAGGTTAAGCTATAGGGGTATTTTAGTAGGAATTAAGTTTCTCTGTTAGATATCACGTTTATGATTTTGTATGTACGTCATGATGTTCAAATTTCATAACCTTAGATATTATATAGAATTGAAAACCAAATATAAAATTTCATGAATATCTACCACACAAATCTCGCTGTGAAAACAAAATCTTAATTGGAATTTAGGGTGAACTCTAGGGTATTGTTATGCTGTTGGAAAACACACAACGCTAATTTCTAATAGCAAAAAAGTGAAAAATGCCGCCCGGAGTTCATTATAAATTCTTAGCTTGTGAGTAGTAAAAGCACCGAAAAGCCTAAGGGAGCGCTTTACTTCTTTATTAATGTTGCATTATGAGGTAATAAAAAACAATGTAAACGCTGTAAAGTTTCGATAAGTTATATTCTTTGTATTTCGCTAGTTCTCAAAGGTGCTTAGTTCTGTTTTATAAAAAATGTTTATTGAAATGTACGCTAAACAATTGTCTCCGAAAACCCTAAAGTTGAGGGTGACAGTAAAAGACGAACGTTAAAAGTATTTCTCCACCATCTGTACCAAGGTACAACTTGATCTTTAATCACCAAGTATAGTGTAATTAGATACCCTAAAACGATGATCCCTAGGAAAAAGCAAACCGATCCTTTAGTCCAAGCTTTGGAGATCCCTACTTTTTTTCCTTCCATCACAAAATATTGCATTCCCAATACGCACACAGAAACTAGACCACCGGTTACGATCGTAAGCAATACACATATAAGAACATCGGATTGTACGTGCATTCTGTTACGGGGATGCCGTACCCAAGTCAAAATTCCTTCCCAAAATCCATACCTCAAAGTCTGCACGGCATCGTAATGAAACATACACAACTCACAATAGTTTCTGCTCGATTCATTTAGCCATCGCTCCAAACAGGTCATGTGCACGTACGCTAGCGTTCCTTTGCAGTTGCATGGCGAAATTAGATGTTCACTGGTGGAATTTGCGTGGCAAATTCTGCACAATGTTGAACTTACTGATGTGAGAGCACACTGACATCTTTCCGGGTTGCTGGTACGCGAGTGTGCGGATTTGACCGAGGTTGCCGATTGCTTCCTTATAATATCTTTGCTTCGCGCCTCATGGGATGAAGTTGATTTCACAGAACGGCTTATATCTTTGCTTGACATTAAATCGCGTGACATAAAACGAGAATATTGGGAAACGTCAAAATATTTTGAAATAACGATTCGTACAGTTAACTTCATTTGGAAGTGAGCGCAATAATTACGACACGTGATCGGCAACTTGATTCCTTATCGAATCTCCTCTCGTAGTTGAGCAACCGATTCACAATATGCCACTGCATTCACAGTTTTGAAACGATCTTTATAATTCCAAAAAAAAATGTTTTTAGGACCTTCTTTGTGGACAGAGTGAGGCGTCTTGCTTCCTCTTTTGGGAGGCGGGCTGCATCAAGTATGTTAACCATGATATCTATGTTCTCAATGGAGGTGCGATGAATCCATATCTCATTCTCCGTTGCAGCATTCGAGTTTTTCGAAGAACAAGTCAGTCTGGCTTTCTCGTGCAATCTGCCGTGCAGACAGTTTTCAAAATAGATGCATATTGAGGACAATGCCTTGGAATAGGATATTAGGTTATGCATACATGAGAGATCCATTCTCCAAATTATGGAATGCTTTTCGGTGATCCTTCCTATGACGTACAATACAGTCACTTTGTTCAATACAAATTCTGTTCAACGTCATCAACAGAATAAAATGCATCCAATTTAAAGTATATTTTTGTTAAGAATTGTAGTTCTGATGTTTGATGTTGACGTTTGAGCTTTCCGTTCGTAGTATTTCTCTTATTTTCTGTTATCGATCTCAATTAAATAAGCTGTCCTCTTCACAACGCAACTGAAGTGTTCATTGCTTTTCGTCGACATGCTTAAGCATTTACATACTACAGCTAAGGAATTGCTGACTAACTTCAGTATTTATTTTGAAAGGCACCATGACAATGGTGGCCCCTTACTTCCATTAAGTTACAGATATAAGTTCTTTGAATCTTACATGTGTCCGTGAAGTCATATACATATACGATATGTGTTTTGACAGCTTTATCATCAGCAAACATCTAAAAGGGTTTTAGCGATTTTTTATTGAGGTACAAAGAATCAGAGTTTCTACAAGAGGGAAGTTGAAGATATTTGGGCGCTACACAGGACCAAAATAAAAATTTTTCCAAATAAACAAATGATCCAAAATGTCCCAAAATTTGGATTCGTTCTTTTATTTTTCCCAGTAACCATAACACAGAAAATTGAAACTAACGGCTTTACTTTTCCAAAATTATTCACCCAAATCATAGCTACTGGCACATCGCTGAACGGATGCAAAGAAGAGTTCTGAGCTAAACAAAATTTGATATTTGGGGACCTTAGAACATGAAACTAATGTAATGGCCTAACGTTTAATTAAAAATTTAGTTTCTTTTTACTATCCCACTGTAGGGCAAAGATTGGAATTTTTGCGTGTAACTTAAAATATAAAATGAAATTACAGGACACACAAATGTCATGTACTTAGATTTGTAGTAGGTGAATAACAGATAAGATTTAATTACGCGAAATCAACAGATACTAACAGCGTGAAATTGCGAGTTGTAAATTCGTTATACAAATTTGTGTTTTAAAAAGCAGATGGTCCTTAATAGTGAGGGCTAGTTAAATTAAAAGGCGCGTGTACGTAAAGGAGTGTCTTGAAAAACTTTCCTTTCAGTGAGGATAACCAAAGTTGAGTAAGAAGAGTTCCATCAACTACCTATTTTCACGAAAGTATACAGCATTCCATTGTAGTATATCTTAATGAGAAGCTTGCGATTAGTTTTTATCCGCTTGCGCTTTTTCATTAAACAGCATGCGTTTGTTTTAATCAACCCGCTATTATTTTGCGCCGCCCAGCGTTAAATTTTGGATGGTTTCGATAAAGAAGATATCCAACTGAAATCGAGTATAGATATCGCGGGATCCTAAACCGCTAAGTACGCAAAATCTTCCTGAAAGCAGAGCTGCGGACATTGGATGCGAAACGTTGAAAATTTCCATCGGTCTGAAAGTCAACGACTTGCCTCAATAGTATAATAACATTTTCAAGGTCATCCAAGGTCAATTAGACCCATTTCTTGTTGGGTCAAATTACATGTTCAAGGTTGTCCAATGGCAATAACCCCATTTGATCTTTAAATAATTACAGGTGAGTTCAAACTCACTCGACGCTTTGCTTTGAGTAAAGATGGATTTATTAGTTTTGAATCGTCGTACATTGTCCAAATCGTTTTTTATACGGAACTGTGTTGCTAGGGGAGGTAATAAATTCATTGTGGAACAATCAAAGCTGAAACGTTTGCCCTTATGTATGAATACACCGAATTTTTGCAACAATAGTGTAAAATAGTTACAACGCCACAACAGTGATGATAGTAGTGCTACTAATCAAAATTATGATGGTCATTCTACAATCGTAGAATTTTCATTGATACGTGACCATTCTAGAGAAGTGGAAGTGTATGAAAAATCGCCCAACGGAAACTTAATTGATTGTGTTTATTATAAACTATCGAATAGCAATCGTCAGACAAAAAATGTGGAAATTGGCACAGCGCATACCTAAACCGTGTAATAATGAAATGTAAATCATAACTTGGCAAGTTGTGAAAGAACTTGTATTATATGAGAGTCGGTGTAGTTCAGATTACACTGAAAATACGATGGTCCACAATATTGGCATGGAAAGTGGTTATGATCCCTACCCTTCTTATCAACTTCCGTAAATGATTTGGGTAGCCAACACGCGGCCCGCGGGCCGCTCCATTGCTTCATCTTGTGACCCGTGAAGCTGGGGAAATTTTATGCATTTTCTAGAAAGTGTTGGTAGGAAGGTGGTGGATTCGGTTGTCTTTGGGCAAGTCCTGTAACTAGGTACACAAAAATTAATACGGCGATATAACCACAAGCGAACAAATTAACTATAGAAGTACGTTAGGATTGTATAAAAGTCGATTATAACAATCGGTAATTGATGAACTGCTCTGCAGCTTCTTGTATACAGTATTGAAGGTCAATAAAGGTTAAGAAGGGTCATTCATCTTGAACGGAGCTTGGATGTAATTTGACAACCCAACAACTGAGGGCATATACCTTGGACGACTTTGAAAATGTAATCTGGTACCGCATAAAATGGATTCAGTGACCTGGGACATTAATTTGACACCCCAAAAAATGGTTTCATTAACCTTGAATGACCTTGATACTATAATTCGACACCACATAAAGAGGCAATTGATCTTATATCAACTTGAAAATGTAATTTGACCCCCAAAAAAATTGCCTAAGGAAATTGCAGCAGGTAATGTAAATAAAGTGGAACTAAAATTTGGTAATCCGCCACAAATTGTCATCTTTCGGCAAAGCGTGCTCCTGGCAAATTTCTTTTTCTCGTAAGTTTGTCCTCTATGAAACATTTTTCATTTTTCATCACATCCAAACTCGCTCCGCCAATTTTAACAATTAACATATCTACGAGTATATGAGTTTCAAAGGTTGCACTTTAAAGCATCTAAAACTTGTATTGTCCACACTTGTACCATACAGAATTGAAAATAAGACTTATTTTGCTATTAATTATAGTTTCGAATATTTTTATTTTGGGCTAATGATTCCATATGGAACTTTTTGCGTTTATGTATACTGTTTACTGTACAAGACATTTATGATTATAACTGAATGAGAAATGTGCATTGTTGAGGGAATAGATAGGATCGCTACATTGGATGCTTAATAGAACACGTTAACAGCGAAATGGAATACCAAAATTAATACATAGATTTAATAAAGCGATACTAAAATGAACATTGCAGACTGTACAAGTATTGACAAGCATGTTTTAATTAGATTATACTTTTTCTCTAAATTAAGCCTTCCATGCTAAGATAAGTTTGGTTGTGTACGTGGCAGGTGCCGGCGCCAAATATTGATGAGGGTAAAAGTCTTAACTTTGACGTATACGCTCAACTCCAAATCGGCAAATATTCAATTTGAATGAAAATGAAAACCATTCGGCTTGTGTCATAAGTGCAAATTGAGCGGAATAACACAAGAAATTTGTAATTATAATTGAAATATGGCATATTACACGAGTGACTTTGAGTGAATTTGTTCCGCTCGTCTATAGTTCCTTTGTGTGCAGGCGCAAGGGGTGACTTTACACAAAGTTTAAGATGTTCAAGTCGAAATGATGAAAACTTTATTTTCTCCTATTTTCCACTCATTACGTTTTCGTGTTAGGTTTAATTACATCATCTAAAGACCGAAATCGTCACGGTCCTAAAATTAAAAGGAGAAGCTAACGAAAATCTGTCCCGACAATTTATTTTATAATTAAATAACAAAATACTGGAACGAGATTTTGTCACAAGAAATATTTCAATCAACAGAGAAGAAATTAAGACAGGCAGATGGGGAAAGTTTAATAAGTGTTGAAAATAACCAAGTAGGTACTGCGAAGGGTGGTACCTGCCGGAAGGATAAAGTAATAAGATGGATAATAAAAGAAGTTTGCAACTCATTTTATGGCATTTCATTAAGGTGCCTCCTTCTAGCTGACAGATTTAAACTTGAGGAACAAGTTGTAATATTGTTCTTATAAGCATGCAGGGAAGCCGCATTTCAAATTGTATAATTTAGTTTGCTTAACTTAATTTAGAATTTGCAAAACAATCGTAATGCATAAGCCTGTCTTAGCACTTTATTTTTTTAGATAATCTTTCCAATCGTAAAATGCCGAATGGTATAGAGAAGTATTCTATTACTGAATCACCATTTAGCTAATTTAAATATGCCAGGCGCGTAGTGTATTTTGATAGTGGTCAGAGATTCCATATTTTTACTAAAATGGCGGCGCATGGTTCAACAAAAGTTTCCCTCTGTTCTCTCGAGTTACAAATTTTGATTCTTACAAAGATAATGGAAGTAAATAGACGAGACTCTGCAAACTTATTCTTGCTTCCCGAACACGTTAGAAGGTGATTAAATTATTAAACCCCTAATGTGTTACTGTGACGGGCGGACTAATGTACCCCATTTCACTGCAGAATTGCCTTAATTTCATATGCTATTTCTGATGGTTCTACGGGACGCGTTTGCTTTAATCCTT